GTACCGGGCGGGACAGAAACCCCAACAAGCCGGCCCCTCATACTACAAAGAGAGATCTTCCTGATTCAGCAGTAGCCAAAAAAAAGCGCACACAGTTTCCTGGTCCATGCCAGCGTGAACTCTGGCTCTTCCAGAAGACCGAACACTTCAGTGGGGTTTGTGGGCAGTGTGCTGCAAGTTACATGGTGGAAGCATGAACCAACTGGTTGCCAGAGTTGAGGTGATGAGGACGGCTCCCACCCCGCAGTCTCAGAGGCAGGGAACATGCCTCTGCCTTGTTGCACTGGGCGGAGCCAAAAGGCAAAGCAGCCTTAGTCCTAGCTATGCCACTTAGCATTTTAAGAAGCGGTCCTGGTCAGAAAAGGAACACAGATACACAATAAAGACAAATACAGATGAAAACAACCTCTAAATGGGTCACAGTGTTGGATAAATGTATGTAGGCTTGGGAGAGAAAAGGAAAAGAGTAGAAAGTTATAAAAAGAAGTAAATGTTTTTTAAGAAAATAAAGTCTTTAAAGAGACAGAATAAACTTGTAGACAAAGTAATATGTAAGAAAAATAAGCCACATAAAGATGGAATTTACAGAGAGTCTGGATTATATACACTATTGTGTTTCTTCTAATCTTTTTTACTGTGAATGAGCAAGGACAGAGAGACATTTCATTGTATAGGCTGCTAAGGTATCTTGACTTCAAAATCTGGGTCTAAGGATTTGTTGCTTTGGAAGAAAGGTTCTTTTGTTTCCACAGAGGATGAGAACCTGTGGATTCCTTCCAGACTAATGTGGTTTGATGGAGCAAGACCCTCCCTCCAAAAGGTCGCTGTGAACACCCCCAAATTACTTCACCCAACAAAAATCAGGAAGCAGTTTGGAAAGAACTTTGCCCAAATTCTCAAATATTGTTTATAAAATTAACAATAAATTAAGGTCAATTTTGTTATGTATATATTTCTTCTCTTGATTAAGGTATTGTTTGTCCAGCTCATTTAAAAACGTAATGTATAATTAAGAAATACAGGTTAAAAGATAATCATCTATAATAGTCAAGTTTATAGCCATGTTAGGTTTTCTAGATATATATAGATATATTTCAGTTAGATAATCTTCAAATCTTTCAAAGACCTATGGAATATGGCATTTAAAATGTTTTAAAAATCGGGGATTTTTCATGATAATGAAACTCATCTGCTCCTGGCAGCACCAACCTACTTCAAGAGGATGATAGACACTGAAGAGGCTCTTTATGGAGTTTGTTGGCATTTGGGCAAGAAACTGCTCTTGCCTGGATTGCTTGGTGTTATGCTGTGTGAGCTGGACATGTAGGACCCACGGAGAGATGACTGGTGAGTCTGGGGTTCCTGCTTCATGAAAGGGTCTGCCAGACATTCTGCAGGACACAAAAGAAAGTGACTGACAAACTGCCAATATAGGAGGAACTATCTTTGAAATTTCCTGCTTCATGGAATAGTCTGCCGGATAATATGGGCCTGTAGGCTGAAAATGGTTGCTGCAACATTACAGAAGAACTTTGGGTGACTGTCCAGGCAGCGAGATGTCTCTGTCAATTCTAGAATTTTGGAAGTTGCTTACAATGTACTTCCTGTTAACTTAGGTAATATTATATCCTTCTTTGATGGAGTTGAAGAATAGACAGTTACAATTATAATTTTCCTTAGTTATGACAAAAGATAAAGCAGATATAAATATTGTAACTGTAATTCTTGCTTGATACCTATTTTATGTAATTTTACTATGTTAAAATTAAAACCGTCCTTTTTATTTACAGAAAAGAGGTGATGTGGGATTCTCCTCTGTATGCTGTGAATACCATTGGTTAATAAAGAAGCTGCTTTCAGCCATTGGCTTAACAGAATATAGCCAGGCTGGGAAAGATATATATATAGAGAGAGAGTAGGCAGAATTAGTGAAAAGCCATGTAGCCACCACCAGAGACAGATGCCCCCGCTGGAGCCTGCCAAAACTTTGCCGGTAAGCCATGACTTCATGGTGATGCACAGATTAATGGAGATGGGTTAGTTTAGGATCTAAGAGCTAGCTAGCTAGCAATATGCTTAAGCTATTGTCCAAACAGTATTACATATAGTAATAATTTCTGAGTGATTATTTCGGGTCTAAGTGGCCAGGGACGAATGAGCATCTTCCCCTAACACAACTCAAGTGTCACAATACAAGTACTCAACCTTTATCCTAGAACATATCTAAAAGGGCTTTCACCTCAGTTCCCAGAAGATAAACAGTAAACTCTCCTTTCTCCTTTCCTGGCCTCAGTAAGTCATTTCCCTAAATGGAAACTAAAACCATTAAGCAATTACTCCTCGTTCCTACCGGTCCCCACCCTGGCAAAAACTATTCAACTTCCTATAAATTGGACTACTTTAGAGAACTCACTTAAGCTTACCAGACCTTTCCATGGTTGCAAGGTCTAGCCCCTTATCTGCTCTGGTTGTAGGGTAGGCTAGGTCTGCCTTTGGTGAGCATCCCCCTAGACGCCTGGCTCTTGCCTACAATGGTTCTGTCGGGCAGTTATGAGTGACCGTGGGCTCAGTTGACCATCACTGTATTCACTCTACTAAGAGTGTTGCCCACCAGCAATGGAGGCATACAAAGACCCTTTCCTCTATACTAGAGAGGCATCCCCAAGGGGTCTTGTGGAAAGAACAGCCTGCTGCTTTGTTTCAGCTGGTTTATTTTAGATAAGGTTTTACGTTAGTCTGAGGGTCATGGAGAACACTATTTATCATGTGTATGTTTGCTCCACCCCCACCCCTGACAGGGTCTTGCTATGTAGGCACGGCTGGGCTTAAACCCAAGAGCTATCTGCCTCCACCTTCCAAGTGCTGGACTAAAGGTGTGCACCATCACCCGGATCTGGTGCCTATTCCCAGCAGATCCTTAGTAACTTCAAAGAACAGTATGCAGTGCTGTGTACACCTCCAGGAGGGCTCTAGAAGTCACCACTAGTATGGCTTGTGGTCACCCAGAGAAAAATTTGGGCTGTTCTAGAGGTAGATATTCTCATCTTCCGGAGGTCAAGACCATCACCAACTCCTATCTTTCCAAGAGTCAGACACCATCTCAGTGAGGCCACCAGCCACTGGGTTCCCATACCTGCAGAGAGCCCAGCACTTGGATGCCTCTAATGTTTTGACTCATCTCTTGCTGCAGTAGCCACTAGTAGCCACCAGGTGGCACCAACAGCATATTCAGTATATCTTGGGAGGCTGCTTGGACTCTAAGAGTATGACCTTGGCTCCTGTCACCTCCATCCAAACCCCTAATGGCCCCATTTTGTTCAGTCACAGCTGTGCTATGTGATCTTGACCATGGCCTCTTGAGCCCTTTTTGAACTGTATCCCCAGCAAGTTGTTATCCTTCCTGCTCTGTCCAGACACAAAGCAGCTAGGGCTTGCCAGTGGCTTGGATAGCACCCTTTGGGGAGGGTCAAGAGGACAGTGGACTCCAGAAACAGACAGGATCTTGTCATCAGGAGTGTCTTACTGGAGGGATATCTTCCCCTGAAGGCTATCCCTGGAGCGAGCCTTAGGGATCTGTGCCCAGGACCCACCATAAGATCCCAGGTGACCCTTGCCACTTCAAACCCACAAACAGGGTTCACACTTCATACCATCCAGCAAAGCAAACCACAAACATGAAAAGCAATTTTTATTGAATTTGGAGGGACAGTTTCTTATTATAATAGTAAAAATGCTGAAGTTGAATGTTGTAAAAAACGAGATGGTGCAGCAGTGGCCACAGTATCTGGCCGGGGACAGCTGGAGAAGTAAAGCATCTAAAAAGACAAGTGCTAGGGATGAGCTCGTGTGGGGCAGACACTCTTCTGTCGCCAGGATTAACTCCATAAAATGCCTTTCAACAGCATGACACACAGCAACAGACTGAATTCTTGTTCCTCTGTCAACCTTGGTGAGCCCTGGCCAACCCGCTGAGCCCTGGTGCTGAGGCTGCTCTGCCTTCTCCCACCCAAGGGAGAGCCGGCTAGCACACCACAGTGAGGTGCTTCTGGTGCCCTCCAGTTGGACTTTGGCCCTGGACCCTAAAGACAGGTGGCAGCTAGAGTGGCCAGGTCAATGGGGGCAGTGACAGGACCCACCCAGACCCATGAGCCCACATTGCACATGGTCGCAGAAGTCCTTAATATTTTCCTACATGAATCTAATTGTTCTGGGCACTGAGGCCACATCTGGCCTCCAATCGGATGAAATAAATTAAGAAAAACCCCAGGATAATTTTCCTCCTGACCTGGCTGGGAGGTAGGCTGCTGCCCACAGTAGAAACATTCTCCCCTGGTCCTGGAGGCTGGCAAGGTTCCTCCCCAGCACACCCGAGAAACAAAACCATCAGTTACAGATGATCCATGCGGGGCTTCTGGACTCGGCAATGCAAAGGAGTGATAGCTGCCAGCCATTGCCCCAGGCCTCAGGCTGTGCCACTGGCTGAGTAGGAGAACTGGGGAAAGTGTGGCCTCCGCTCGCTGTCTACACACTCCATGCTGTCATCTGTGAGGCATAAGAGGTGGCTCAGACCAGACTTGAAACAGCCCACCCACCCGCCACATAATGGAGGATCTGAGGAGGCCCTCAGAGTGATCACTCCCAGCTTAGCTGCTACCACCCTCCAAAGGGGCTTTTTAAAAGTTTGAGTTTGGAGCTGGAGAGAAGGCTGAGTGGTTATAAGCACTGGCTGCTCTGAGAGAACCCATGCTCAATTCCTAGCACCCACATGGCATCTCGTAACTCTAGTTCCAAAAACAGAGCCAATAAAAGCTTGGCAATGAGGCACCTTAGAGCGGGGTGGCCCTCACCTTGATCAGGCGGTGTGATAGTGATCATCTGGGCTGTGAACTCCTCATCAAAATACCTGGTGTCAGTCTCAGAGGTGACCTGGGGCTTGAAAGGTGGGCTCAGCTGTGGGGACAGAAGAAGATGGGTGACAGCTGTTCCAAATTCCAGTCACAATGTCCCAGCCCTCTCCATTTCTTGGCAGTGCTGACTTCTAGGGGTGAGCCACTAGCAAAGGGTGCCGCTATAGATGAAACTGGGAAGGGCAGGCCCAGAGGCAGAAGAGAGCAACCGTACCCATCTCCCCGGTGGCAGGAATAGTCCTGTCTTTTTTCTGCTTGTCATTTTTCTTATAAGTTTTCCCATACATGGGGAAGGAGACAAAGATGACCAGACTTCAGGTGAGCTCACTTGCCTCACTGACAGCCCAGGGACAAGAGCCAACCAGAAAATGATGTGTATATAAGTTGCTAACGTCTCCTGAGTCCCACAGGCAAGGATTCTCAAATACCATCTCCCCAAAGTCTGGCGTAAGGGCAGTGCTACATGTCAACTCAGGGGATCTCTATTTGGGTATAGGCAGGAGAGGTGTGCCAGCCACACCCCCATATGGTCAGAGGGCAGGGCTCCAGCTGTTGATCCCAATGTAGCCTAGAAAGAACATTCAAGGTAGGAGGCAGGCTGGTTACACTAAAAGCCGGCTTGGTGACAGGGCACCCAACACATGCAGTGTTGAGCCCACCTACCAAGCCTCATCAGCTACTCAGGGCCAAGGCTGCTTAGGAGCCAAAGGGCACCCCGCCAGTGGCCTCCACTATGCCAAAAAAAACAACAACAACAACAAAAAAAACCAGGTACTGTCTAAGAGAATGGGGTGGGGCTCTCTTTGGCGCTGGAGATACCTAAATATTACCCGCCACCCTAGGCTAGCTTTCAACACGTGGCTCATGAGACCCCCAGGGAAAAGGCAAGAGTGAAGGTACAGGAGCAGACAATGCAGGGGTCCAATCAAGGGCCTGGACAGGCCTAGCAACTGAGTGAGGTCTGCAGGGCAGCAAAGTACCCCTATTCTGTGTGACTAAGGAGGCTGTGCACATCCCTGTGGTTCTGGGGCGGGCATGTGATTACCACAGAGCTGTGAGCCCATCATGGGCATCTGAATCAGTGAGAACTGAAGAGTGTTTGTATGTGTGCGCACACACGTGATCCAGAGATGCACACCTTTTTCTCATATACATCCTGCCACACGATGTTGGCAAAGAAGCGATGCTGCATGATCTCCTTGGCATCCTCAGAGCCCCCGCCAAGCCTGTGGGTGGGAGACGGGTCCAAGATCAGACATGGCATGCAAGGTGACAGGCTCGTGGGGTGGTCGCAGGGTGGAGCTTTCTGAGCAGCTGTGGGTATCCCGCCCTGGCTACATGAACTGAGCCTGTGCAGAGCGGTATGGTGGGTACAGTGGGAAGCAGTACTGTCCAGAGGCTGAGCCTGAAGCACTGATGGCCCTTACCTCTGTGTGGGGTCCTTCTTGAGCAGCCCAGAGAGCAGGGACTTGGCCTCAGGGCCAAGTGTCCGAGGGAAGCGGATCTCCTCCATGAGGATGAGCTCGAACAGCTTCTCGTGGTCCTGGTTGTAGAAGGGCAGGCGGCCACACATCATCTCATACATGACCACGCCCAGCCCCCACCAATCCACCGCACGGCCATAGTCGTTGTCCTCCAGCACCTGGATGGGGGACTCTGTCACCATGTGTCTGGGATATGGGGGGGTGGGGGAACACACAAGAAGTGGCAGAGCACCTCAGGGGCCAGGTACTCAGGGGTTCCGCAGAAGGTCTTCATAGTGGCACCATCCTTGATACCCTCCTTGCACAGCCCAAAGTCTGTTATCTTGATGTGCCCGTCCTTGTCCAGCATGAGGTTCTCCAGCTGTGTAGGAAGCCTCAGTTAGCGTGGCCAGGCCCCCGGTCCCCACTTCCCCCAGTCTGTGGACACACCTTAAGGTCCCGGTATACCACATTCTTCTCGGAGTGCAGATAGTCCAAGGCCGACACAATCTCCGCACCATAGAAGCGGGCCCGGTCCTCAGAAAACACACGCTCACGAGACAGGTGGAAGAAGAGCTGTGGGGTGGGAAGTGCTGAGGAGGGACTGCATGAGGGGCCCCACACGTGACCCACAAGGCAGAGGGAAGGTTAGAGATTACCCCCAAAGAGAACCAGGGATCTGGAGATTCTAACTCAGCAGAAACAAGACATTCCAAAGCAAGCAACTGTAGGCTTGCTCATATGGCCAGGGGTGCTACGGAGGGGTTCCAAGGCTCTCAGAGGGACAAGTTTACCCTCCAAGTGCCCAGCGCTGAAGATGCCTATGGCCCTACCTCGCCCCCATTGGCATATTCCATGACAAAGCAGAGGCGGTCATGGGTCTGGAATGAGTACTTCAGCGCCTGCAATGAAGCACAGCAAGCTTTAGCATGGACGAAGCATTAACATCCTGGTATTACACTGCCACCCAGCCACCCTCAAGATATACCAGCACACACTTCGTGTCCTGAGTCAAGTAACACCTGTCTCAAGTGTTATTCCACACCGTCCTGTCCTGCAATCAGCAAATCCTTCTGCCTCAGCCTCCCAAGAGCAAGGACAAGAGGAAAACCACCACGTCAAATGGCATATTTTAAGATGAGAGACACGGGGTCTGAGATCAAGTGCAGGGCAGATGGCTTAGAAGTTGACTGTACCAAGTTCTGAGGTTACCAAAAGCCTCCATGTGGAGGAGTCTGACTTGACAGCGTTTCTTAGACCTGGTGTGCTGAGCCACCCCAGCGGCCTTCCCATCATGGACTACAGGTGGCCCTGTTTAAAGGCATCAAGCCCAAAGTGCTGACCCTGGAGTCAATCAAGCTGCTATACCTGAGCTTCACTCACTAAACCCTGAGGAAACCTGGCCTCCAGAGGAATCAGCTTAAAGATGGGTCTGAAAGGAGTAAGGGGATGGAGGTCAGAAGATCAAAGCCATGCCTCCTTCCCTGCACACTTCTGTTGTGAGCACGCTTCCCACCCCACGCCAGCACCTCACACCCATCCTTCCCTAAGTCCGCCTAAAGCCCTTGAAGGCAGCACCACGTGACTGACCCACTCTATCCCACTCGGCCCTACCTCAGACGGACCCAGACTGACGGCCACTACTTACTGTAAGGAAAGGATGCCTAGAGTTCTGCAGGACACGGTTCTCAGTCAGTGTGTGGGCAACCTCATCCTAGAGGGCAAAACCAAGTGAGCACTCATCTTCCCCGCATTCCTCTCACCCGCCCTCCAGCACTGCCCACCGCGCACCTTGGCAACGATGACCTCCTTCTTGAGGATCTTCATGGCATAGTAGCGGCCCGTGGCCTTCTCCTTCACCAGGATCACCTTCCCAAAGGTGCCCTTGCCCAGTAGCTTTAGGTATTCAAACTCGTTCATGGTCTGTGGATAGTAGACAGTTAGGCAGGGCCCTTGCTCACCACAACTAGCCTATGGGGATAAATATCTATGCCACTGCCTTCAGCTTGACAGTGTCTAGAGCAAACAAGACTACAAATTACCCCACAGCAAACTCAAGAGAGCTTGAGACAAGACAGGCCCATTCTCACATCTATTGGCCTGCAGTGAAGGGTCCAGTAGTTTAGTCAGAGCACTGGGGCTTGGGAGATCGTGGACATCTTTTTTTTTTTTTAATTTTTATTTATTTATTTATTTAGTGCTGTGGCTTCACGCATGCCAGACAAGCATCCTGTCAATTGAGGTATATCTTCAACCCATGTAAGGGGAGCCAGGGCACCCAGACCCAAACAGAGAGTCAGTCAGTCAGGGATACCAGGGCTTGCCAGATCCCTCCACAACTCTGGTAGCTCCAGTAGAAACAGAGCCCGGACTCACCACACGGTGCTTGGGCTTGGCCAGGGACACCTCCATCTCCTCAGCCCCTGAGTTGTCACTGGGAGAACCTGATGGGAAGTCCATCGTCTCTTCCTCCTGCCTCTTGAGTCCATCAGCCACAGTTTGGATGGCGGTGGTCCATTCTTCCCTGCAGTGGTCAAGTGAGGCCTCAGGCACCAGGCAGGGGTTCTGCTATGGCTTTCACCTACCAACTGCCTGGCTACCTGGTCCTGAAGCTGCAGGCAACCACCCAGAACCTGGATCTGCATACACTAAGGAGTATCAGAAAGACTTAAGGTTCTAGGGACAATGGCTTCTCCCATCATTTCGCCACCTACACCCAACAAGTGGAAGCAGCCTAGTTCTCCAGAATGGGTTCAGCAGAGGTCTTTGGCTCTCAGGCAGGCACTCACCGCTCCTCAGGCGTTTCCACATGGAAGGTGCGCTCAATGACTGTGGTCCACTGCAGGCAGCGGATGATGAAGGTGTTGGGCCTTGGCCGCTCTGTCTTCATCAGCTGGCATTCTAAAGGAGAGCTCAGGGAAGCATCTATTTGCATACATCGACCTGCTCCTCCATGAAACCCTTACAGTCCTGGCCAGACAGACCCTATCCCAGACCTCACCCATCCTATCCCAGGAAGGTGCATTCCATCCTCCCTTTAAAAAAAAATTATTTATTTTGGGGGCTGGAGTGATGGCTCATTGGTTTAGAGCACTAACTGCTCTTCCAGAGGACCCAAGTTCAATTACCAGCACCCATATGGCAGCTCACAACCATCTGTAACTCCAGTTCCTGGGATCTGACACCGTCTTCTGGTTTCCACAAGCACCAGGCACACGTGTATATAAAGACACAACAAACACCCTTACACATAAAATAATTTTTTTAAATTTTAATAAATCATTTATTTTTGATCTTGGGTCTTTGTGTATAGTCCTGGAACACTCCATGTAGACCGGAAGCCTCAAACTATAGCAATCATCCCGCCTCTCCCTCCTAAGTGCTAAGCTTACAGGTTAAGCTACCATCCTGGCTTTTTTGTTTTCTGAGGTGGGGTCTTGCTATGCAATTTTGACTGGCTTGGTATTCACTTTGTAATCAAAGCTGGTCCTGAGCTTGAGGCAATCATGCCTTGGGCTCCTGAGTGCTAAGATTACAGCATGAGCCGCTGCACCTAGCTCCAGCCCCTCTTCTAATCCTAATCTCCCTAAAAGAACAGAGAGCCAAGTTCTGGCAGCTGGGATGCTCTGCTCCGAAAGCGAGGCCCTGTAAGAAGGTGTTAGGCTAGATCAGTTAGCCCTACACTGCAACTATTTCTAAAGTTCCTCTTTCCTTCAGCTTCTGACCCTTACCTCATGCTGGGCCTAAGGGATGGAGGAACACTGATATGCCCAGGAGGGACAAGAGTACACAACCCACCCACCCTGACTGGTACAGGAGTATCTTGCTGTTTCCCCAGTCACATATAGAGTCCCTGGGAAAATCACACACATGCAGCACCCACACCAGAAGCATGCACTGGAATATGGATACTCAGAACATGCACACCTGCTGCAAGACTGGTGCACACACCTAGAATATGCACACTTATAAGGGTGGATCCCTGGGACAGCCCAGGCCCTGAGGGTATGTGTGCAGCAAGAGGGCTTCCTGGCAAGACTCTGGAAGGCAAGAGGGGCTGAGAGGCCTCCCACATTCCATCGTCTGGGTAATGGCAATGTGAGGGGCCTCCAGGCTCCAATGAATGAGCAGGGGGCAGTCTGCCAAGCCAGGGGCCAAGAGGGGCTTGAGGCCCAGCCTTGGGGAAGGCCTGTGTCAACATGGAGTGGGGGATGGGGGTGGAAAATCACCCTGAGCCTTTCCCTCAGCGCATCTGGGATAGCTTGTCAGGCAAGCAGATGAATAGAAACACCAAGCTGGGGTCTCAAACCCTCCCACCAAAACCCACCTCCAAGAAAAAGCCCTTGAACTGATGAATAGTGTCCCACCCAACTTTGTTCCCTGCTAGGTATACACTACCCACATCCTGAGGCCCAAGCCCTGCCCATTGCTCGGCAGCCCCCTTGGCTGGTGCCCATACCTATGGGTCTGCTTCAGAGAGGCCCCTTTCCTACCCCCTGCAATAACTAAGCTGGGATTCTTTCCCCATCCATCTACAGAGGCAGCAAACTATGTTAAACCTCAAGGCTCTGAGGCAGATACAGAGGCAGCAAACTATGTTAAACCTCAAGGCTCTGAGGCAGATGTGGGGACTGGTCACGTCAAGGAAGGTGGGCATCCCTAGGATCTGAGGCAGGTCAAACAGCTACCTGCAGAGCAGGAACATATCAAGCAGGTGCTAGGGGCAGAGTGCAGACCAAGCTACGGCAGACATCACTGCACTCCAGACTGGAGCCCAAGGATGACCCCAGAGTCTGCCGTTAGTAACCCTATGGCTCAGGCTTGTTGCTACTTAACACTATCAAACTCAACCACACCTACAAAACTAGCTGAGCCCTTGGCCAATCCCGGGCATAACACAATGTGGCACAGAGAACAAGGACACAGCTTCTTAAGTCGCAAGCTCTCAAAGATAGTTTCACAATATCCCTAACCTTACCACCCTCACCAGTCTTGGAGTAGGACTGACTCCCACTGGCACGTCAGCTAAGGGGACCACAAGATCCACAGGGAAAAGGACTTCTGATGGCCTTTCCAAGAATTACAGAAATAGTTCCTAAGATCTTATAGACTCCTAGAACTAGGAGCCCCTCCTCCCATTGTCTACCCAAGAGTTCCCAGTGAATACCCTTGAGTGGCTGTTTAGTACCCATTTAGGGACCCTGATCAACCTACTCTCTAAATCAGGTCCAGTCACAACATGCTGGAACCTTCAGTTTTCCTAGCAAGGGCTCCCTGGTCCAGTCAGAGCTGGCCACTCACCAGTCCTAGAGGAGGTAACTCAGAGCCAGCACTGCCCAGCACCCTAGGACAAAACCCAGGGGGCTCTCCTGAGTTTTCTCAGTGGGCACAGAGAGCTTCGGCCTCCCTACTGGCCTGCCTAGCCACCTCACTCAACCCAAGACACTTACGTGCCACTGAGAAGTTGTTGAGGGGGGACTCGCGCTGCTCCACATCCTGAGGCCGTTCCTTGTAGCCAATAAAGGTGCCATCATTCTTGAGGAGGAAGTAGCGTGGCCGCCAGGTTTTAATGTATTCCCCTGCAGGGGTTGGAGGACATAAGGAGTTAGTTGCATGTGAACACCACTGCAGTGACCCAGACACCTGAGAGGACCCAGGCACACAGATTCAGGTGAAGGTGGGGAAGGGATCTGGACCACTTCAGCCTTCCCTGAAGGCACTGCCACTAGGGCAAAGCTGCCAGTGCGTGTTGTTGGGAGCATCTTCTGGGGCTTTGTCTGTGTAGCAGACTCAGGAGGTGCCACGGCTGGAACAGGGGGCCTTGGGTCCTAGCTGAGACCTGTGCTGTACCCAGCTGAGTTCTGCCCTGGTCACCCAGGTACACAGAACATTGTTCCCTCCAGTTTTGCAACATCAGCCATAAGCAGGCACCACACTCAGGAATCAGAGCAGATGTCCTCTGTGATCTCCCAGCGACTGTCATTTTTCATAATGACACCCGGAAAAACTGTTTAATTTACATTTTGCCGAGCAAAGGAGTCTGAACAACAGGGAACTAACTAATTAGGCAACTTCTTCATCTGAGGGGACACTAGGCTGAGGACAGGAGAGGCAGACCACAGGGCTGGGGTCCCTGAGCTCTATCTGGGATAAAGTCTGTTTGCCCCACTGAGCCCTAAACAAGGGGACCTGGGGGAATGTGCTGTGAGCAACTGCTTGGACCAGGCTACCTACTACCAGGTGCTCCATGGCACAGACCAAGTCACAAGGTCAAACACCCTGGTCTCAGGCACCAGGCAATGCACCTAATCCCCTTGCCAAGCCCCAGGGAGGCTGGCCAGCTTTCCTTCTCTATCCTCTTACAGTGTGTACCAAATCTAGGTTTCCAGGTGAGATAGTCTACCCAGTCTAGTACCCCAGCACGGACCCCCTTAGGCTCTCAGGACCTGCCAGGGTACAAGTAGCTGGGGCTCTGGGCAGCATAATGCAGAGCCCCACACATGATCCACCTCCCCCATCTCCACCATCTAGCCCCTTCCAATCAACACCCTGAGATAAATTTCCAAACACCAGCCTTAATCTGCAAGATGCTACAGTATGAGAGGAAACCTAGGAGACGGAGGAAGGCTCTTGGTGAGAGCAGTGAATAAAGCCACTACCAGGAGCTGGTAGTTATCAGGGCGAGGGATCCTGTGCCCTCATCACTGCAGGTCTCCTAAGCCTGCCATCAGCACTGACAAAGATCCCAGCACCACAATGGAAAGAGCAAGCATGAGCTCCTCCTGACTGTGGCTGGTGCTCCTCCAGGACGTAGATAGGATTGCTCTGCTTCTCTTCAGGGTCTGCAGTTCACATGCAACCACTAGGACACCTGTGAACCATTTCTGCCTCCCATCTTTAGCTCCCAGAAGCCCAGCTATCTCCCACAGTCACTGGGGGCCTTAAAGCAATGGTCAAAGTCAACCCTCCCTCACTCAGGAGGAGGCTCTAAGGCCTCAGCAACTTGCCTACATAACAGGAATAGAAGAGGGAGGTTACCCAGTCTGCAAAGTCCCCTGAGCCCCTACAGGCACTGGCCCTGCTCCTGACCAGGTGGGACACACCTGCAAGTGTTCACATGCCCAGGAGTCCCACGACTGCTCCCCCCAGCACAGGCCTAGAAGATGCAATGGGTAGGCAGGGGCTTTGGTAACATAGCAGAGCCACTGGGGGGTGAGCAGCCCACCCCATCATGCTCCTTCCTAGGCCACCCGCTGTGCGTGCCCACCCGCCAGCACCAGTCTGGAGCTGTCGGCCCCTGATGGAGTGCCTCCCATCTCACCAGCTGCTGCTCCCCGGGACACTAACTGAGTATGGAAGCTGATGAGCAACGCACCCGTGCCCCAGAAATCCATCTTGATTTACCAACTGCTGCCCACCCCACTGTGCCCAGTACAGGCTCCCAGTGCAGGCCCCCACATGAAGACCACCACCTGACCCACAATCTATACTGGCTCTTAGCCTAAATGACCAGCCCCCAGGCCAGGGAGATTTCAGAATGTGGACCTGGAGGTATAGGCAGGGGCACTCACCAGGCAGAGGAGAAGGCAGGTATCCAGAAAGGCCTAGGTGCCCTTCCCCTCCCAAGTCTCACGGAGGCCACATGGCCAAGGGGAAATGTAAAGTGGTGACCTTGTCATGCCTTTCCCTGTGACGGCCTCCTTCCAGAGGAATGGGGGCCACATCTCCTGCCTCAAGGTCTAGCCAGGTGGTCAGTGGGGTACCAGCTGAGCCAGCTGCAGCCTGGAGTGTGGCCTGCATGTTAACAAGTCCAGTGTAGACAGACCCCCAAGCCCCACCCCCCTGCAGAACTCTATCAACATATGACAAATACAAGAGATGGCTTCCCTGGTCCCTCATGGCCTACGGTATGTAGGAACACCATGGGGTCTCTTTTGGAGACATGAACTTTGGCAGGCCTCCCCCCAGCTCTTCATACTCCAGCGAGAAGGGATTGGTACTGAGTCATTCTGGTCTCTGCAGAAGTGCTAGGTTCTGGCCCAACTGGGATCTTCTTGGCTGCCTTACTCCATCTGGATGCTTGCTACCCTGACCAGGCAAGGCGAGTCCAGCTGGGGACGCACAGCACCAGCTGGAGCGCTCCACCTGTCACACAGCCTCTGGGAATGCAGGTACACATGGCTCACTAGAGGTGCCGCGCTACAACTGGAGTTTCCTTATCAGGCCTGTATTCACACATGGACAGATGATAAATGACCAGGTGCCACCTCCACGGTGTGGTCCCAATGGTCCTTGAGGCCACGCGACTAGCAACATCTTCTCAGTGAGCAACAAAAACAGCAAACAGCGCACACCAGGGCTAAACCCACACGTCACAGTAGACCCAGCTCCCCACTAAGCACATGTTCACGTCCACCCGCACACCTCTATGTAGAGGTAGCAGTTAGTACCCACCTCACCCAAAGGCCTACCCTACCTTCTTGTAACAAGGCCAGTAGCACCTAAGAAGAGGCAAGGGCTTCCTCAGGCCTACCCACCTTTCCAAAACCAGATCCTGTCCAATCCTGGAGGAAAGGATACCTAGAGATGCCACTCACTGATGTCCACATGGCCTAGCATCTGTGAGGGTTAACCTCCAAATCCCTCCCTCAGGGCCTCCTGGACCTAAATCATCCAGAAGGAAACAGGGAAGCTGGGCAAGGTAGTGTACACCTTTAATCCTAGCACTCAGAAGGCTGAAGCAGATGGATCTCTTACAGTTCAAGGCCAGCCTGGTCTACATAGTGAAATACCAAGCCAGCCAAGACTATATAGAGATCTTGTCTTAAAAATAAAAGAAGCTGGGCGGTGGTGTGTACCCCTTTAATCCCAGCAGTTGGGAGGCAGAGGCTGGCAGATCTTTGTTAAGTTCGAAGCCAGCCTGGTCTAAAAGATGGAATTATAAGACAGACTCCAAAGCTACACAGAAAAACCCTCTCTCAATAAAGAAAGAGAGAGACAGACAGACAGAGAGGGAGAGAGAAGAAGAGAAGAGAGGAGAGGAG